TGGGACTAAACCACGACATAGGGCTTTGCTCATTTCTGCATCACTTAAGATGATTTTTTTTTTCCCTTTTATTATAGTCTCTTAAGTCTTTCTGACACTAACCACAGTTTCTTGAAAAGTGATGTCCCCACTGCTTTTGGACGGAGGCTTTATTTCCAGGCTTTTTCGTTCAAGGCTGAAAAAACTATGCAAACGAGTCCTCACTTCTACAAGTCTCATAACATTCTGTTCACTTATCCATGCTCAACTTCTATGAAGCAATGTATTTCCAGGTATATATTACAGAACGACCGTTGACCCACTCCCTCTCCCAGACTATAAACACATTCATTTTCCCTTCATAGAACGCAGACATCTCTGTGAAGAGAATGCAGTGCATCTCTGTCAGGCTTTGTAGAGCTGCAGGGGTAATACAACATGATATCCAATGGCACAAGAAGGGCTCTGGTTCTGAGCATGTAACTGCCTGTGTTGGCTTATTTAACAAAGTCAATAACTGGGTAGCCATCTTATGGCCCACAATGGCCAGCTTTTACTCATCAAAAAACTGAACTATCTGGTATTTGAATGTTTCAGTTCCAAATGTAGATTCATCTTGGTATGAACAGACAAATAAACCACTGCTGAACAGTAGGTGTTTTAGGATTTTTTTTTTTCCTAATAGGTAATTTTTTTAATCAACTCTTGTATAATTTTTTTTTTTTCAGAAAAAACCCTCTCTACTCAAGATGCAAGACTGCCTCTTACAACAGCCAAACTGCTCTGATCATGCTTAAAAGAAAGGCAGACCATGCAAAAAAGTTCACCCACTTGAAAATGGAGGATAGTAAGTCCACTAATTTGACACTGCCTGAGGCATGCTTAGTAAAAGGAACTTGAGTGAAGACTCTAAATCCAAGGTGTTTACAGAAGAAAGATAAAGACTATCTTAAAGGGTTTCAGGGAACTGAGAAATTTGGAAAAGGACTTGGCACTAGAATCCAAAGAGTGGATACAGTGAAATATCAGCTGTTCAGCGGATAGCTAAAATTAAAAACAGATACACTTGGCCAGCCATTTATGGCTTCATATGGTCATATGACAGCACTTGATATTCAAACTGTTCAGCTAAGGAACTCAGTTTCTACACACCTACAGTGGAATTTCCAATGGCATACAAATGGGGAGGGTGAGGGAAAGAAAAAAAAAAGGGGGGGAGGGGAATAAAAGACGGGGAGGGCAGGGAAAGAACAGATCATCTCTAGTATTCCCCCAAACTATTTGTAAGGTAAATCAGTTTAATTTACCCTGGAAGGAGTGATTGCGGAGTTGGCGTTGGCCCATTCAGGGCATACAGGCTGATGCTGCTGATCCCACTGCTTCCCATGCTGCCAGAACTCTGGGCAGACTGAGCACTGCGGTCTTGGTAATTCAACGGAAGGCTTTGAGGCCTGGCATAGTAATAAGGGGTTGAGTGAGCATCCCGTGGCAATGCTTGAGCAAAAAGTGTGGCATAACTTGATACCTGAAAAAGGAGAGGATTTGAAAAGGGAGGAATAAAAAGAAAAGATTTGTGAGTTGCTTTAAGTCATGTCTTTAGTTAACAGAAGCGTAATATTCAAGAACGTAAAAAAAATAACTGAAGACCATGTTTATGCAAAGAAAAGTTTGTTGTTACAACTATAATGACAGAAAGCAAGTCCCTTACAGTTGGCAAAAGTACTTTTAGCAACGAAGCTTACTTTTGCCTGTAAATTGTCATTAGCAATAGCTGCAAAAAGCACTTTTGTGCTAGCAGAGCTGCAACCAAAGGACAAATTTTGCTCTCCCTACTCCATTTCAAACCCATTAGCACATAAGCAGACATTACACCACCAAGCAGAAAGCAAACAAACAAAAAAATATCACCCATCTAATAAAGTCACAACTTCAGCTACAAATGTTGGACAGCTCATATGTTTACATTTACTTAGTATAAAAAAATTACACAGAAAAAAAATGCAGCTACTTCTGTCAAGTGTGTTCTTCCTTTCAGCCTCACACACAAACACAACCTGAGGTGTTGGTTAAGTCTGGATAGTGATTCTTAATGACATCTAAAATAAGTGACACATTTACTGTTTCTCAGAAGTAACAAAGGTCTCCTACCTTGTTAGACTGCTTACGTGGATCCTCACTAAGGCTAAGCAGGAGGTAGAGTATTGACCATTTGTTTTTCAAAATGCCCTTTAAAAAAAATGAAGACAAACAGAAATGAGTTTGTTTCAACTCGTTGATAATAATGGATTTTTTTAACTATCCAGCCTACTAACATGTACACATATAAATCAATTTTCCACACAAATAAGACCAACTCAGAGCCACACTGTTGAGTAAACTGGGAACGTGCAGTGCAGCCTCTGTATTGCTAATGTTATGAATTTTCTCCTCTGTGTTCAAATCATAAACTCTCACCTGCTCCGAGATCAGCATGTACACTCAATTTAAAATTCATAGCTACTAAGAAAAAGGTTTATACAGAGCTGAACTTTTACCAGCATTCCCACACGCTCTCACCATGTAAAACATCACCTTTAGGTTAGAGTAGCATCTGCATCTGAGAAGAAGGAATACTCTTGGTAGAATTTTAAGCAAAGAACTGTCTTTTCTCCACTTTCCCCTTTACAGGGAGGCTTCAGAAGTTTAAGGGTTTCAATTTCTAATACTTGAAATGTCATTTAAGAGAGCTACCAAAATTTTCACAGCTTAAGATAGACACAGTTAAGATGAAACTTGAGGAATGTGCAATATAGTCTCTAGCAAACAAATAGACAGATACATATAGACTGTTAAAATAACACTCTCAGCAGCTTTAGATCTCAGCAGAAAGCTTACCAGCAGAAGACAGAACAATGCTAAAGCCCAAGCTACAAAAAGAACACTTTGAAGAGAAGAGTTATGGCAAATATTAAAATGTTTTATTTTAGATATACATGTTTCTAGATATGTTACTCTAGTTCTGTGACACTAACACTTGCACCTGAATTGATCAGGGACATAGAACCTTATAATGGACATTAAGTAGTGGAGTAAGTCAAAGAAGCTCATACAAGTCCCCTCACAATATTGATCAGGCTATGGTCTGGAATACTAAGCAATGTTGAATATAAAGGAAACTTCAGTCATACCAAGATTCAACAAATATTCCATCCCTTACAAAGCAATGTAATTCAGTGCTCTAAGTCTTGCAAAAAGCACTTTCAAGGTAATTTTGAAATTCTCTTTTTTAAACACATTTTCATTCTCACCTTTTTCTATTTTTCCTGTTTCTCTGCAAATTATGCATTTTGTGTGTATATGTTACATGGTACAAAAGTTTTGGCCATAGAACATTTTTTTCTTCAGGATAGAGCCCACTAACCAAACCTACCAAAGCTCTATATTGTTATATAAAAGTAGAAGGAGACATTCTGTATTATTATGTAGAGCAGAAGTCTATTATCTTCTGCTTTGATCTCAACAAGAAGCAAAAAGTAGAGGTATTGCATCTGTTGCAAATAACTAATCCAGCAACTCATTAACAGCTGGTGAAGAAGGAGCAGCAACATTACTGTTTCTTTGACTGGCCAGGATAGAATAACTCCAAGTGCCTCAAGAAGCATGGTGTTTGCTCAACTGGCAAGCTGCCACTAAAATAAGAACTGACCTCCTTTTCTCTTTAGAGTGATGGATGAAACAAAGTTAAAGCAGATTCACACAAGCTTTTTTCCTTCTCCTAGTTGCTTTCAAGAGAATTGCTGGAGGAAGAAAAAGCCTCATTGATTCAGAAAAGGCATATTCCTTCTGTGCCCTTCCCCTCATGTGGAAAAGAAACGATTGTCCACCATTAGTAACAAACCTAACAGCAGACTGAATAATAATTGGTAGAGTGAATTTTAAAGAAGGAAGTATTCAGACGATACCATTTCATGTACACAAGATGCTAGCAGAAAAAAAAAAAAAAAAAAACAAAAAAACCAAGAGATGCAGAAGGTCAAAAGAACCTCAAACATTTGATCGGGCAGCAAAATATGAGGACATAGCCGATGTAAGCTTGTATTACATTCGGAAGAATAACCAAACGGATATGAACACAGACAAGGCATTTTGTTTCAAAGTTTACAGTTGCTTGCCAAATGCAATGATATGGCAACATAGTACATAAGCCACAGAAACACGTTACAGAAAATCTGTATTAAAAGAGCAAGATCACATAGCATAACACGTGCAAGAAAAGGCAAAACTAATGGCTGAGGTCATTGGAACAGGTGTTTGCAAACCAATGACACTTGCTTCAATGCAAGTACAAACCAATGCAAATAATACACAAATCCACAGGATAAGGAAAACACAAAGAGCTACAAGGTAACTTTAGTTCCAAGCACTAACAACCCAGGAAGTTGAGTGTGGATTGGGGGAGGGGCAGAACAGAGTTCTGACTAGTCACACTCTTCACAGAATCACTTTTGTAATCTCAAAATCTTACTATTATCCTGTAAAACTCAGCCATGATCTATATGTAAATGCATGAATAAAAAGCAGAAGAACAGAGAAAAACATCTCTCCTAAATACAAAGAGCAAAATAAGGACAAAGCTGCTTATATAGAAAACATTATCTTTTACATTAACTAATTTTTGTTGTCAAAAAGCAGGTATGGGCAAATGAGAACTGGGCATCTTTTTTTATTACTGCCCACCATACTCTACCTTGTTAAATACTCAGTTTTAGGAAGAATCCAGAACACACTAGCAGCAGTCATTTTTCACCTACCTCAGCAGAACTTCTATCCTCACATCTTCCCTCCCTTTCACCTGATCCATATTCCTGCATCATGGGCTTTCTATACACTCACATCTTGTGTCAAAATATCAACATGGAGTATTCTTAGATTAACACTGGTGTTAGCAGAATCAAAGTCAGCAAACCCTTAACCTTCAACATTAATGACCTGGAGCACTAAAAAAATTCAGAAGCATGAGGACTGTTTAAACCCTAGATAAATAAAATCAATATACTTGCAAGGCATTGCTGTAAAATAAATAACAACAAAAAAATGCATCAGTTTTACATATAAAAAATTAACACTGCTATTTTTACAGAGTTCCTTCCTTCATATGAAGTGCTCCTTCATGTAACTGGACTCTAACTAAACACGTATCCTTTATTCTCTTCTGATTTCCAATTAAATTAATTTCTAATTAGTAGCAAACAGCTCACAGTAAAAAAAAAGTAACTTGTAAACTTTTTCACAAAAGTTACAAAATGGTTGAGGTTGGAAGGCACCTCTGAAGATCATCTAGTCCAACCCCTTGGCTCAGAGCAGGGTCATCTACAGCAGGCTCCCCCTGACTGTTCAGGCAGGTTTTGACTGTCTCCAAGGATGGAGACTCCACAACTTTCCTGGACAACCTGTTCCAGTATTCAACCATCCTCTCAGTAAAAATACTGTTAATAACCCAAGTAGTCTCCAAAACAACTCTACAACGTCAGAAGTATGCATATGTGTGCTTTCAGTGTCTTTACTCTTTATTCACTTATTACTCTACCTGTGAACTGAGTTTTCTGTAGAGTTCTGAAAACAAAGCAGCATCTGCTTCCCTTCTTTGTCGTACAACTATTGGAAAAAAAAAAAAAAGAAGAAATATAGATTAAAAATTGAAAGAAATATAATGGTCATGTCTGAAATGATATATTTGTGGTAAAATGGAAAATGCACCCAAGAAAGCATAATGATGCTTAACTGTTTCAACTCTATTTACTCATACAATTTTGCTTGTTTTCATGTTATCTGCATTACAGCCCTGAAAATTCTTGCATCAAAAGTGATGCAATGTAAGTACCTGAGCAGTAAAAATATACACCTTCTAAATAAGTGCCCTTTTAAAGTCTAGTTTGCTATTCTGTAGGTTTAGGGAATTAAAACGTAACTGAAAGCAGATATGGCTTAAAGAATCCTATAAAGCCCTTCACAAAACAAAGTGTAATTATTCCTATTTTAGGCAGTAAAAGCAAGAAACAAAAGTAGTAATGCCACTTGATCAAAATCAAGCAGAATTCCAAGGTCACACAACTTTTATGTATTAAGAAAAGCAACAGTCTCAATCACTGCTAGTTACATAACAGAAGACTTTGCTGAGAGGAAAAACATCTTCAAGCTTTAAGATGTCTTCAGAAAAGCCATACTACATCAGAAACAGCCATGTTTTTAAAAAGAAAAACAAAAACATCTGAAGAAACCTTAATAATAAAAAAAATTGCTGTTAAATATTAGAAACGTTAATTAGCATCAAAAGCCACTGCTAAGTACATTTTGCCAAATAAGTCACTTCCTGCATGGTAAGCCCAGAATAAATGTAAAGTTAGAAGGATCTATCCAGTTACTTGTTACATGACCACTAACATCAGCCTACAAGCTGAAGCTGGGGAGAAGGAAGATGAGGGAGATAACCCTCTTCAAAACTCCTGGCTATAGGCCCAAAAAATATATGCTGCACTGGCTAGTAATAGCCAAAGCATGTAGAAACTCATGTAGAAAGTATATACTGTAGAATACAGTGTTTTGGAGTTGCATCCAGAGAAATTCTGATGGACTTACATGCCTATCAGCAAGTCATGGAAGCCCTGTGTCAGCAAGAAACACACATGTACTTTAAAACAGTTACAACCACTGAGTTCAGTTACCCTAATTCAATCTCCCTGACTGATTATTCAAAGCTCAACTATGAAGCTTTAATTTAATTAGCACACTTCAAGTAATTGTTTCTGGACATTCTACTGTAGAGCACATAATCTGCTGAAAGCATTATTTGGCTTTTCAAGAAGAATGCATCACATTCCCATTGGATTCACACAGTGCAGCACTTGACTCCGAGCAGCGTAGAGCACAATGGAATGTAACTGCAACATAACTTACACTGTCATGGAGTAATGTTTTGGTTTTGAGAAGGTGGCTGCAGATAAACTTGTAGAGAAACTGAAGGCAAGAAATACCAGGTGAGTCACATGAACAATTCCATCAATTCCCAGGATGCTCATTCAGCAAGTTTCACACAGGTGCTCATGAAGTTAATTGTGCCAAAGTGTAGTATTTCTAAAGCGCACATCACAAAAATATCAGTCTTCCAAAAAGAGCTATGAATTCATAAAGGCTGAGTACTATTAAAGTGAAATGAGTGCCATATTAATTGTTCTTTATTTTCATGGTGGCTAAGATACTAAGATAAGAAGTAAATGGCAGCAAGGGAAGTCTACACTGAGCATTCAGAAAAATCTGAGCTGTGAATATAAATAGCCACTCAGGAATACCAACTGGGGAATTAATGGAATTTCCATCATAAGATTTTCAGGGGGTGAGCATTAATAACAGATTAGGTAACTATCTGTGAGGCGGTGTTGTCCCACTTTCAGAGGAATAAACTGATCAAGTAACTTCTTGAAAAACTTCCATTCCTATTTCTAAGAAAGAAACAAAAATGCACGTACGTTCTTTCTTGATTTTCTCTGCTACAAGAAATTCATCCCGTTCAACGGTGGGAGCAAAGTTGCTTCCAATAACTCTCACTGCATACTGAAACTGCTGGGCTGCATCAGCTGAAAGAAAAAAGGAAAACTCTCTCAGTTAAGCAGAGTGTTAAAGTTCTATTAAAATAAATAAAAAACGTTAGGCATGAGATTGCATTGCTATGGCCAAATCTGGCATAAACATATCTGGTTTAGATCAGATAATGTTATACAATCATCCTTAGACACACTTCTAACCAGAGGACAGTAAAGTCCAGTTTACCCATGAGCATATTATCAATGCTATACTCCAAACATACTCACCTGTATACAGTCCACAAAATAATTGCACTTAAATCTGTGAATAAGCCTTTCTTATTCTGTGCTAACGGAAGAGACACTTAGGCCTAACCCATTTATTAGAGAGCATTAGCACACTTTAACCCGCTCTGCCCTTTTCCACAGACTGAAATGCTGCGGGACTTGGCACAAAATCGCACAATTCAGCTCACACAATATAGCCATGTTCACCAGGCACACTCTCTCATCAGGCACCAAAACTGGATTATCCTACCTGTGGATCTTTACTCAGATATCCACAACAGTGACTTTACCAGTTGACGTCTTGTTTTTAGGTTTTTTGTTTTTAAACCAGTTTACATGGTTTCACCACTTAGGTTCAAGCTAGCTCAGAGATAGCAGCATCATATTCCAATGCATAATACAGATACTACTGGAGAGGTCACAAGCCAGTGACTTCCCTCCGCCACGCCTTCATCAGGCAATAATGCTGTTTTTAATATTGTTGCTGAGCAGTATTGTTTTAGTGCAAGAATCTCTGCTTTTTGGGCAGATTAATAGTCTGGTAACACTGAGACAGGGCCAGCTCAGTATTAATGCCTTCACAGCATAGTCATGTTCCCATTTATTGACCTGGAAAAACAATCAGATTATAACCCTAAAGACATGTCAAGTGCCCTTACAAAATGCTGGATAAATTTCTACTCCTCTAAAGGAATAACTGTAATAATATGAGGGGAAAGGTACCTAAGAAGAAGTAAGTGTAAATGCGTGGTGTCAGCTACTTGAATCCATTAAACTCTCCAGAAATTTATGGAAAGGAGAAATTTGAAATCAGGATGTGCTACATTCCTTTTGAATGCCCGTTTTTGACCGTCTTGTGACATAAATGCTACCCACTGATCCTAATCTACTAGAATACAACTGTAGGCTAGCAAACATTGACCAGTTCACACAAAGCAGTACTTCACACAATCAGGAAAAAAGTCTGCTCAGACAGAATCATTAATATTTAACAGTATTTGACAATATTGGACTACAAAAGGACCAAGGATATCGTTCTACTTTCAGGAAAGAAAATGTCAATATCTGGCCTACTGTAAGGTCACAAATCTGCATGACTTAAATGCCTCCCAGAAAGAATAGTTCTACTGTCAGACTAAGCAACCTCTTATTTGCAATAAGGACTTGAAAATAGACATATAAAATAATTTCATAATAATTTAATTTAATAGTTCAGCTATTGATAGCTTAAACTGGACTGATGAACCAGGTGGGAAGAGTAACTGAGGAAGTGTTTCCAAGTAATTCTTAAGTACAATGCATGTCATACAGAACAACTCAAGATTTCCAAAAGTATTCTGCAAGGCCAATTAAAGTCAAATATTGGCACTAGGTTACCCCAAACAACAGTAAGAATTCTGTCGTTTGTTAATTCCTCAAGTGTATACCTAGCAGCAGTTAGGCAACATCTAGGTTTTTCTAGTCATTCTTACGTATTTTTGGCATGTTGCTATAGTGACTTAACATGGGCCACAAATTAAAAATAAAATTGCTACAGGAGTTCCAGATCAAGCATCTTGGATGAACTAAAGTCAGGAGAAGGATCAAGGGTAGACATCATCTTAAAGACCAAAACAAAACAACAAACACAGACACACACCCCCCAACCAAGCCACAAGAACTTCCCCTTACAGTTCCTCCTCACTCATTAGATGCATTACCCTGGTTTTCTAAGGAAAATTATGTTCTAAAAGTAACGTCTGCGTCCACCTGCACCACCCTATCCCCTAGGGATTGCCCTTTAACTCTTTTTTTTTTTTTTTTTAATAACAAATTTGATAGAGGCCTCAGGGATATCAACTTAAACAGCTTTCACAGAAACTGGGGACTGGTAGAACAAACATCCAAACAGCTCTCCCTGAGGCAGAGATTGCAGCGAAAGCTCAGTGGTTAAGTATTCCCTCTCATCTGCAATACCAGGTACTGCATCCTGCCTGGACCGCTGCCAGCAAGCGCAAAGGAATGGGAGACCTGAAGGATGAAGGAAGAGGGATTTCTGAAGAAAGCTACAGGGAATGAAAGTACAAGCTGGCAGTACTGCACCTGAGGAATGCAGGGGGTTTACTGAAGAGAAGACTTGTGACACAAATCCACAGGAAATAAAGACTTATTTAACTTTACTGAATGAACTCATTTTCTATACATTTATGATCTCGCAGTATATTACAGTATGTTTATCTTATTAAGAGTGTTGAATAAGAAAATATGTAGTTGACTAAAAAAATAATTCTGCTATGTCTGGACAATTGAGCATTATTCATTCAGCTGCTAACTTTTCAGTATATGTTATGACTTATGCTGCGATTATCAGTAAGCTTAATGCTTGGAGAAAAAATTAAAAATCAGAGCATTACATTTTATTCACTTACACTGAACAACAATGCACAGTTTTTCCATGTAAGCAACACTGTATTTACTGTGTTTATTCACTTTTAAAAAATTGTTTGGTTTCTGATCAGTGTTTCAAAAAGATTTAAGTGTTATGTTTCTTCTCCGTTGTTCCCTGTGGTTTTGGGCATTTAGATTTAATTCAGGTAAACCAAGATCCACACAATGAGAAATCAAATGGTTTTACTGTCTTTAGTCACCTGATGAGATAATTACAAAATCCAGCAAAGATGTGTACAAAGTCTAGAGACTCTCTGGAATTTCATTTCTCCAGAAGAATTGACTCAGAAAGACAGCTATACGTTGCCACAAGTTTGGGTGGGGTTTTTTTGGTGGATGATGTTGGAATAGAGATTTACCTCAAAATAACAGAAGAAAATTATGGACTTTGCTATTTGTGTGTTTTCCTATCTGCCTCTGATACTAGAACTTTTAAAAGGCTACCTATGCTTCGAGTTCTGTAGTACAAGGGATTATTGATAGCAAGACTGAGACACAAACGCATGTGAAAGTTTCTGGACAGAAACCTTGAAGGTTTAAACATAAGCCCTCAATCTAATGAAAAACACAACAGATATATTATTGGTAGTAAGTAGCAGTGTTTTTACCTGTAATGGGGAAGTTTTAAGATAGATATATAACCTTCTATAATAACCTTCTATTTCAACACCAACCATAGCAAGACTAGTTAAAGCATAGACACTCAGTATAGTCTTTTCCATACTGCACTAACAAGGCAGCCGAGAGATATCTCTAGTTGATAGACTACAATTCCATAAAAAAATTCTGACTATTAAACCTGTTACACTACTACTGATATGGAACAAAGTTATCTGCTCTTTACACATACAGATTTGCACTGGCAATTCAACAGCATTGCAGCAAGACTGGTTTTATATTATATTTTATCCAGATTTTCATGTTTTATTCATATCAAGTCCAGGTTCTCTTTTACAAACAAAACTCCCTGCTGTGGGAGTTTCTTCAGCAGATTATTTCTTCTAAGTCTGTAATATGACTTCAGTACCTAAAGTGATTAAACATAACTTAGTACGGATATCTGTCAGTAAAATAAAGATTCACATATTTTAGAACTTACAGACACATTTAATTGCTTCCCTCCTCAAAGAACAGCCATTATGACAGCAGATGGGCTTGAAATACACAACTACACATCTATGTATGTGTACGTCCTTCTTCATCAGAAAGTGATTACGGCATGAATCTCTTACGTAAGAGCAAGCTCAACATATCTGATGCATGAAATTGATGTAGCTGTTTGTGGGGTAAAGGGGGGAAACAACACTGATCATGACTTGTTTTCCAGAATCTGATCAGAGCCGTGAATGTGGCTAAAGACAGCTACTCTCCCTCAGACTATGTCCCTTAAGTAATGCACACATACATACAGAATTAATGATACTGGTAAGCAGCCATACAGCTGAATGAAGAAATAGCACTAGTGAATCACAAAAAAAAAAAAAAAAAAAAAAATTAAAAATCTCCCCTTTCAGCACCGAAAAAAAAAAAAAAAAAAAAAAAATTAAAACTCTCTCCTTTCAGCACAGCAATCTATCAATACTTCAAAGATCCATACTCCACCCAGCCATTCAAACTTTCCTACAAACAATGCAGTATTAAAACTTAACTACTTCAAAAGGCAGATGACAGCATTTTAAAGCTGCAGAAAATACAAGAGTAGCACACACAAAAAGTATAGAAGCAATGCATGCAATTCAGTTGTAAAGAAAGCAAGAAGAAATAGGATAAAAGATAAAGTTTAAAGGAAAAGTTTAAGAGACAAAGAGACAATTGGCCAAAATACTTCCAAGAAGCCAGTATTTCAGAGGAAATGCTGAAATTCAGCAAGTCTTTTGCTGAAGTCACCTATAATTTTAGGAAGTGAACTGAAAGTCACTTTACAGTCTTACACATTTCTTTCAACATATCAGCTAT